TGCTTTACAGTTGTTTTATGACTTACCGAGTTAGTTAGTTCTGGTCTGGAAGGATTTCGGAGTAAATTGAGACACTTAGTCTCATAATTGAAAACTTAAGTTGGAAAAGTCAACTGGATGATGACTTATATGTAAAAGACCCCGAATTTGAATTTTGATAGTTCCGTTAGCTTCATCGGGTATTTTAGACTTAGGAGCGTGTCTAGATTGTGATTTGGAGGTCCGTAGTGGAATTAGCCTTGAAATGACAAAAGTTTAATTTTTGGAAAGTTTGACCAGGGAGTTGACTTTTTGATATCGGGGTTGGAATTCGATGCTGGAAATTTGAATAGGTCCGTTATGTCATTTCTGACTTGTGTGCAAAATTTGAGGTCAATCGGACTTGATTTGATAGGTTTCGGCATCGAATGTAGAAGTTGGAATTTCTAAGTTTCATTAAGCTTGAATTGTAGTATGATTCATGGTTTCAGCATTGTTTGATGTGATTTGAGGTTTCGACTAAGTTTGTATGATGTTTTAGAACTTGTTGGCATTTTTGGTTGAGTTCCCGGGGGCCTCGGGTGAGTTTCAGAAGGTTAATAGATCAATTTTGGACTTGGAGGACTGCTGAAGAATTTCTAGTGTCCAGCTCTGGTTTCCTTCTTTGCATTCGCGAGAGAGGTCTCGCGTTCGCGAAGGGGAACTGGAGGCAGGCGAAGTTTTTTGATTCGCGTCCGCGAAGGGTTAGGGCCAGTGTGCATCACAAACGTGAGAGAGGAGACGCGTTCGTGAAGAAAAGTGAGGGCTGGGGTGGACTTCATGCGTTAGCCTACGCGTTCGCAAGTGAGGCGTCGCGTTCGTGGAGGCCTGGGATCTTTGGTCATCACTTTCACGAGAGGACCCTCGAGTTCGCAGAGGGTAAATTTTGGGCAGCACATTTTTGTGCTTCGCGAACGCGAGGCAAGGGTCGCATTCGCGAAGAAGAAACCACTGGACAGAAAGTTATTTCCATTTTTACCGATTTGGAGCTCGGAGAGAGGCGATTTTTGGGAGATTTTCAAGGAAAACATGGGGTAAGTGTTCTTAACTCAATATTGGTTAAATTACCCGAGTCCATGGTTATTTTTAACATTTAATGGGTGAATTAAGTTGGAAATTTAGAAAATCCTCCTGGTTGAATTTGAAGATTTGAGGGTCGAGTTGATGTTGGAATTAGGTAAAATTGGTATGGTTAGACTCGTGGTTGAATGGGATTTCGTATATTGTAACTTTTGTCCCGTTCCAAGACGTAGGCCCCACGGGCGATTTTTGAGTTAAATTTCGGATTTTTGTTGGAAAATTTATATTTTCATATGGAATTTGTTCCTATAATTTGTATTGACTGAATCGTATTCACTGTGACTAGATTCGAGCCGATCGTAGTCAGAAAATTGAGGTAAAGACATTCTTATTGACTGATTGAGCTTGGCTTGAGGTAAGTGGCTTGTCTAAGCCTGTGCGAGGGGAAATCCCCTTAAGATTTGATACAGTTGTAACATTTTGTGATATGTGAGCGTTGTGTACGCGAGGTGACGAGTGCATACATGGGCTAAATTTGGAAATATCGGTTCTTGCTAAGTAGTCTTCTTTTAAATTCTTTAACTGATTGCTTTAGTATATGTAGTGATCATGTTTAGTTTAGTATCACATGTCTACGTGCCCTAACTCTTACTTGCAATATGTACAACATGCTTAGTTAAATTACATGCTTATTTGATTTGATTTAAATCTTTAACTGTGAGATTCTTGCTGTAAATTCGTTGTTTCCTTCGGATATCTGTTGCATATTTACTTTGGGACTACGGGGCAATTACTCGGGAGATCCCCCTGTACTGCATATTTACTTTTGGGACTACAAGGCAGTTCCTCGGGAGATCTCCATGTACTGCATATTTACTTTTGGGACTACGAGGCAGTTCCTCGGGTGATCCCCCTGTACTTCATATTTACTTTTGGGACTACGAGACGGTTTCTCAGGAGATCCCCCTATACTGCATATTTACTTTTGGGACTACGAGGCAGTTCCTCGGGTGATCCCCCTGTACTTCATATTTACTTTTGGGACTACGAGACGGTTTCTCAGGAGATCCCCCTATACTGCATATTTACTTTTGGGACTACGAGGTGGTTCCTCGGGAGATCCCCCTGCACTACATATTTACTTTTGGGACTACGAGGCGGTACCTCGGCAGCGCCCCTGTTGTTTACCTCTAATTGTTGTGTTGTTCACTTCTGAGTTATTTCGTTATATTATTATATCCTCTGTCTTACTTTTCTATTATTTCTAGTAGGGCCTGACTTGACCTCGTCACTACTCTACTGAGGTTAGGCTTGGCACTTACTGGGTACCGCTGTGTTGTACTCATACTACGCTTCTACACATTTTTTGTGCAGATCCAGGTACTTCTTACCAGCCCATATATCAGCGAGCTACCTGTGTGCGGAGACTTCAAGGTATATCTGCCTGCGTTCGCAGACCTCGGAGTCCCCTTCTATACTTATTATGTTGTTTTCCTTATTTTAGTAGACTTTGATGTACAAAGACATTAGTATTTCTCTTAGAAGCTTGTGACTTATTTCTACCGGATTTTGGGAGATTATAGTTCTTTGACTTGCAATTTTCATTTATTACAACTATTGAGGTTTGAGTTTCAGACTCTTATTATATTATTTCGAAATTTATTAGGCTTACCTAGTCTTAGAGATTAGGTGCCATCACGACATGCTACGGAGGGTAAATTGGGGCCGTGACAATAGACTAACTGAATATTTTTGTACTAGGAAGTAAAATGACCATGGGAGATACATGAGTATATTGTCGCNGAGAGAAGTCGCAATATGATGAGATGTTCCACGTTAAGCAAAATGACTATGGAATGGGTCTGTAATGTGCTCAAAGAAACCTCTAATGACTAGAAGAATATGGTACGGAGATGGAAGAATAAGAACAGACTAACTGAATATTTTTGTACTAGGAAGTACAATAACCATGGGAAATACATGAGTATATTGTCTTTCAAAAGAGACAATCGTGAGGTCATTATAATCCCTGAACTTGCTTTGAATGCAGGATGGAGAGACATTGCATTTAAGATAGAAAGGTTTATTAAATGCTTATGCCAACTCAATTTTACAGGGCCACCAAGACTTTCTGAAGAAAATTACCCTTATACCAAAGCAGTACAAGAGAGTAAATGGCAATCAAACAACCTTCATGAAGCAGTTGTCAGTACTAATAAAGGAGGCATCACGATCCTGGAGCCAAATGAGATGAAGGATAACGGACTTCTGACAAGATGTATCATTGGGTACTTTAGGAAGGAAACAACTGAGAGACCAACACAATCAGACATTCGAAGATGGGCATGTATAACGTGGAAAATAACATTTGAAGTGAACATGTATACGATGGCTGAGAATCGTTTTCTGTTTGAATTCCCCAACAGAAACATGGCTGAGCAGATTCTCCAAGGAGAATGGTGGTGGAAGAAATTCAAGTTTTATCTCGAATGGTGGAGCCCCATCACCGGTTGTCTTTCCAACTCCATATCTGTAAAAGGTACCTGGATTAGAGCCATGGGAGTTCCCCTACATCTGTGGTCACAGAAGATTTTCAAAGAAATAGGAGACCTTTGTGGTGGTGGAAAGCTACGGAAGAAGAAACAAAACTCAAAAACCATCTCAAGTGGGCAAGAATTAAAGTAGCAGGAGATGGCTGGAATATACCAAACGAGGTAGTCATTGAGAGAGAGGGGGTCGAATTTTTCATACCAATATGGGCTGAAAGGAAAACTCACTTTGAACTAGAGCCGAAGATTTCCAGGGAGATAATCGGAGATGACACAAGATTAAAGCCTCTGAAGAACCATCGGACAAAAATAACCTATAAGGTAGAAGGGGTACAAGATAGCCTTTCAACTGTAGATGGGACGTATAAGTACCACGTGGGGTGTACTGAGTACAATGAAAAAAATAAAGGAAAGGCACGTGCAATGCAGGAGGATGGTTTGGGAGAAAAAGCATTACTTTTGGGCCAATCTAGCGTGCCCGGCAATGGGCCAGCTATTAAAAATACAATTGCGCCTGACTGTGCAGCCCAAGTCATCTTTAATGAATCATATATGGAGCCCACAGAGATCACAAGGTTTGACTCTTTTCTAGAAGAGACGAAAGCTGTTTTGCATTCACAATAAGAAGCCAACCAGGTAAGTCAACAGAGATTCATTGATGTAGTTGCAAACTTGGAGAGTTCACCACATGCGGAGATGCTGATGCTAGAGGAGCCAAGATAAGAATAAGGGAAAGGGTTACAAGAGATGAAGGTAGACGATGCTCTGCCACTAGTCGTAACTAGGGAACCTCATCTTATTTATGAAATTGAGTGTGAGAACCAACTACATCTCAATTCTAGTGGGAAAAATTGGGAAGTCGAGTATGCTGAACCCCTTCTGGTTCAGCATCAGGAGTCTTTTCTGGAGAAAGAGATGGATGTGGACTTATGGGTTCATCAAAATTTGCTCAAACTGAGCAAAATGATTGGGGTAAATTTTTAGGGACATGAAGAAGAAGCTTTGGAATTACTTATGCAGATATATAGTTGTAGACAAGCTAGATGGATGGAGCCAGCACTGGACATCAAGAAAACCAGATTCAAAGGGGCATACAAGCTGAAAGGTTTGGTTTCCTTTGATGTTAAATTCCAGAGCATCGGGAAAAGATTTAGGGGAAAAAGCCTGACACTAGTTGATCAATGAAGTTCAAACTAGTTTCATGGAATGTAAGGGGACTTAATGATTTGGCTAAAATAAGGATAGTAAAGAGTTCAGTTCAAATCTGAAACGCAGATATTATCTTTTTTAGGAGACTAAACTTGAGGGGGAAATACAAGAGCTTGTTAAGTAGATTTGGGGACGGTGATGGGTGAGGGTTACTTGTCTGGAGTCTAGTGGTACTAGAAAGGGCATTATGATAGAATCTGGAAAATGGAAGTCAGTCAAATTAGAGGATATACACTCACATGCAAATTTGAGGCACTCCTGCAGAACTTTGAATGTCACATAACAGGGGTGTATGCCCCAAACTGTAATATTGAGAGGAGGAAAGTTTGGTGGGAGATAGGAGTTGTGAGGGGTTTGGTGGAGGGCCCATGGTCTGTTTGTGGTGATTTTAACGTTACCATATTTCCTTCTGAGAAAATAAACTGCCTTAGGAGATCCAGAGCAATGGTGGAATTTTCAGATTTTATAGATGATATGAATCTGATTGATCTCCCACTAGAAGGAGGTATCTACACCTGGTTCAAAGGGGATAATCAAATAATCTCCTCCAGAATTGATAGAATCCTGATCTCTGAAGAATGGGATGACACTTTCAGGAACATCAACAATATCTCCTCTAACGACTAATCTCAGATCATGTTCCCGGGTCTTTACAATGTGGTTATTGGGAATACACCAAGTCATACTTCAAGTTTGATAACTGGTGGCTGAACACAAAAGGCTTCATAGATAGAATCAAAGAATGGTGGACATCTTTTGAATTTTCAGGGAGGCCAAATTTCATCTTAGCTTGTAAAATGAAATCACTCAAAGGCAAGCTGAAGGAATGGAGTAGAAGTAGCCAGGGGAATTTGGGATTGCAAAAGACCAACATGCTAAATCAATTAGCAATGTTGGACTCTACTCTAGAATATAGAGCCCTAACAGAAGAGGAATCAGTGAAGAAGGCCTCTCTTCTCATGGAATATGAGGAACACCTGAAAAATGAAGAAATTGAATGGAGGTAGAGATCTAGAAATCTTTGGCTTAAGGACGGGGACATGAATACAAGTTTCTTCCATAAAACTGCTAATGCACATAAGAGAAGCATTAACATTGATCGGTTAGTTATCCAGGAAGAAACAATTGTAGAGCCACTAAGAATTAAGGCTAAGATAATTGACTTTTACAAAGAGTTATATACAGAGAATGAAGAGTGGAGACCTGTGTGCAACTATGATATATGTCCTAAAATATCTGAAGAAGAAAATGAGTTCTTACAAAGAAGCTTTGATGAACAAGAGGTGTTGGGGTGTTTGAAGATGTGTGCAGTAGACAAGGATCCTGGACCTAATGGTTACACAATGGATTTTTTTATCAAGTGTTGGGATGTATTGAAGTAAGACATTATGGAGGTTTTCCATAATTTTCACTCCCACAAAATCTTTGAAAAAAGTTTTAATGCATCATATATAGCCCTGATCCCCAAGAAGGTAGGTGCAAAGGAACTAAGTGATTTCAGGCTTATAAGCTTGATAGGCAGTGTATATAAGCTAATTTCAAAAGTTTTGACAGAAAGGCTTAAAGGAGTGATGGAGAAATTGGTGGATTCACAACAGATGACTTTCATCAAAAGAAAGGCAAATAATGGACGTTGTTGTGATTGCCAATGAAGTTGTAGATTCAAGAACTAAACAGAAGAAGCCATGAATGCTTTATAAACTAGACATCGAAAAAGCATATGATCATGTAAACTGGAACTTCTTGTTAAATATGCTATGCCAAATGGGTTTTGGGGTAAAATGGATCAATTGGGTGAAATATTGTATCTCCACTGTCAGATTTTCAATCATCATAAATGGATCTCCTAAAGGTTTTTTCCCTGCCCATAGAGGTTTAAGGCAGGGTGATCCTTTATCTCCCTTTCTCTTCATAATAGTCATGGAAGGTTTGAATAACATGGTTAAAACAGCAAAAAGTAATGGGTGGATCAAAGGGTTTGAGGTAGCTAGAAATGGAAACAATAGTCTCGAGATCACACACCTTCAATATGCTGATGACACATTAATTTTCTGCGACGCAAAAAAAGGAGTAGCTGAGGTTTCTAAGAGTTATTCTAGTATTGTTTGAAGGGATTTCAGGACTTCATGTTAATTGGAAAAAAGCCATCTTTACCCAATAAATGAAGTATCTGATATGGAACAATTGGCACTAATCTTGGGAGGTGAAGTAAAAACTCTCCCTACTGTCTATCTTGGCATGCCTTTGGGTGCCATATCTAAATTCAAAGATATATGGAACAATGTTATTGAAAAGTGTGAGAAAAAGCTCTCTAGATGGAAATCTCAGTACCTAGCAATGGGAGGAAGACTAAACCTCATTAACTCAGTTTTAGACGCACTCCCATCATATATGATGTCACTCTTCCCTATTCCTTCAGAAGTCATACAGAGATTGAAAAAACTAAGAAGAACCTTTTTGTGACAAGGAAACAGAGAAAAAAGGGTTTTTCACTTAGTCAAGTGGAAATCTCTTATAGTTGGCCAAGCTCGTTGTGGACTACGCATCAGGAATTTGAAGGATCATAGCAAGGCTCTCAAGATGAAATGACTATGGAGGTATTCTCAAGAACCCCAAACCTTATGGGGTAATGTGATCAAAGCCAAATATGGCGAGGAAGACAAGTGGTTAACAAATGAAGTAAATACAGCATATGGAGTTAGCTTATGGAGATCCATCAGGTCACTCTGGCCTACTATAAAGAACCACTCATCCATCAAAGTGCAAAATGACAATAAAACCTCCTTCTGGAAAGATAACTGGTTGGGAGATGGTTGCTTAAAGGGCCTCTACCCTGATATGTATGTCCTGGCACAACATCAACATAACACAGTAGTTGAAATATGGTCCCCCCAAGGATGGACGGTTATTTTTAGAAGACGTTTGAATGATTGGGAGGTGGCTAGAATGATTAACTTCTACAAACATCTGGAAAGATCCATAGGTTTACAGAGTGGGGTAGACACAATAAGGTGGCAAGGATATAACAATGGCATCTATAAGATGAATGCAGCATACAAGATCCTGAATCAAGCTAACCAACATATTAACAACTGGCCTTGAAAGCATATACGAAAAACAAAGATTCCCTATAAGGTAGCATGTTTTTCTTGGTTACTAGCAAAGGAGGTTGTTCTGACACAAGACAATCTTATAAAGAGAGGGATTCAATTGTACTCAAGATGTCACTTATGTGGTGAAGATATTGAGACAGTTAGCCATCTATTTTTACATTGCAAGATAACTGACCAGTTATAGAAGATCTTTATTAATCTCAGTGGCATAGCTTGGACAATGCCTAGTAAGATTACTGAAGTTCTTTTTAGTTGTGATAAAGCTGGAACTGGAGCAAGAGATAGAGATATATGGAGAACTATCCCAGCATGTATTTGGTAGACAATCTGGAAAGAAAGAAATTCCAGATGTTTTGAGGATAGAAGAAACTCTGTGCAGAAGATCAAGCTTAATTGTGTTTTGCTTTTTTACTTTTGATGTAAACAGATCTACGCAGAAGATACAGTTTCAATCCTAGATATCCTAGAATCTTGTTAGGCCTGAGGACCAAGTTTTTTTTTCTTTTGGCTACTCACTTGTAAATATGGTTTCAGTACAACCTATGTACTTATTTTAGTATAATATACAATATGTTACCATCTCAAAAAAAATATATTCGATTGATCCACACACCAGAAAGCAAGTTCTTTTGTGTCTTATCTTCTTTAGCTAAGAAATCCCCGAAATTAATGTCGCAAGGTTCAAAACACGATGGATAATGGGCTCACCCCTTTACTATTTTTACTTAAGGGAAGAATTCAATACCATATGACGTGCGCCTAACCCATACATCATGAGTTGCGCTCTCACCACTAGATCAAAGTCATGTAAGTTTTTTTTGTGTCTCAATATTATATAAATTTTATAAAAAACGTTTTAGGATCTTTTTGATATATTTTAATTTTAGGCCACCAGTTCTGTTGAGATCAACAATTATTTACAACTACTGCCCCACCATGAACATACAGTTCAACCAATTTCATTCATATTTGGTAACTGAATGACACACTTACTGCCTTTAATGTTCTTGTCATTATTGTCTTATCTTAATTGAGACTATAAATTTGATTGAGAATGTCAAGGGTGGACAAGTGGCTCTAGTAAGAGACTAGTAAAACCATGATTTAGGTCCTCATAATTTTTATTAATAGATTTTATAATTTTATTTCAAATTAGACAATATTAATGTTTGTAGAAAAAAAATAAAAAAGTACAAAATATTTGTAAAAAGAAAAAAAGTTGTCTACTCTTTAACTATAAAAATATTTTTAAAACTTTGAATTAAACTACTTAAATTTTCATATTAGTAAATACATTTTTCACAATAATATCAAAGGTAACATATTGCAAATACATGCCTAACATCTCATTTATTTAAATTACCTTTTTTCTAATATAAATAATAATATTACTATGTGAAGTTAAAGACTTTATGTCATTTAAGAATATCATATCATACTATATTAAAAGTGAGAGCATTTAAAGTCAAACTTAAATTACCAATTTACCCATAAAAGATTGAGCGACAATTTTGCCCTTCAACAAAGATAATCCCTTCTATTAAATTACATGAATATAGTTAGCTGCATTTAACTGCATGAGTGGGATAGAATTGTTTCATGTGCCAATAATTATGGGAGAGGATTTAAAATCTAAAAGAATATTTTTCACACGGGTAGGATTTACCTTTTCACATTCCAACTTTTATTTGTTTGGTTCCTTGAGTTTTCAACTGTTATTGTAATAACTATGCCTAGCCTTCAATCATACTTCACCATAGTATACTTTATAAACGTAGACACCAAAGTGTCAAAACAGTGCATTACTTTGTCTTTTTTCTTCTGGGTTTCTATCCTCAAGCTGGATTTCTTATGGAAAATATTTTGGTTCACGTTTTGGAAATATAATGAATTGAATTAGGGTATTTTAGTATGTAATTCTTTCCTTTTTTTTGTGTGTGTGTGTTGGGGGGGGGGGGGGGGGAGGGGGGGAGGTTAAGTATGCTTCTTTTAGGATGATGGAATATTATTATAAAGATTTTGACACACATAACACGAGAAGGAACACAGAAGTCTACGAACAACACGTAAGAATCATTTTCTTTCATGCTCTTTTGTTCTTTCTTTCGGTTATCTATTAGAATTACTCTTTTTCTGTTCTGCCTCTCTAAACTCCTTAAAAGCTTGTAATTTTGACTTTATTATTAATGAGGCTGGTGTTGATTGCTATAGTGTAATCTTTGTGCAGTCGAGAAAATAAATCACTATGATGTGATCAAATCTTATTGGATGATAAATCAATTGTACGTAATATTAAAGCACTATTGACATTAGGTCGAGCATTTTGTTTGTTTTTCTTTATAATACGGACAATTGAAGACAACCATATTGTATTTAATTCTAACTATTTGCATTAGAGATTGAACTGAAGTGAAAAGATAAAAAAAAATAAAATAGAATATCAACATAAAGGCAAAAAGAAGGTAAAATGAAATAAGTTCAGGTGAGAAGGAGTACTTATATCTTAAAGTAATATTTAATTTTGATTTGCACAGTAAAAATGTATAACGACCCGGCCGGTCGTTTTGAGTATTATAACCCCGTTCCCCCATATTTACTGCTCAAGTTATTCTTTACAGTTATTTTATGACTTACCTGGTTAGTTGGTTCGGGTCCGAAAGGATTTCGGAGTGAAATGAGACACTTAGTCTCATAATTAAAAACTTAAGTTGGAAAAGTTGACCGGATATTGACTTATGTATAAACGGCCTCTGAATTTAATTCTGATGAATTCAATAGCTATGTATGATAATTTTGGACTTAGGAGCGTGTCCGAAAAATTATTTGGAGGTCCGTAGTGGAATTAAGCTTGAAATGGCGAAAGTTAAATTTTTGGAAAGTTTAACCGGGGGGTT